GCCATTGATGCAACGTCCTCCACAGCTAGATTGAAGAATAAAAGGACAGCAACTTGTCTGTCCCCTCCCCCAATTCCCCAATAAAATCTTAAAAAAAAAAATTAGCAGTAGTTACTATTTACTTAAATGAATGTATTTCATTTAATCCACAGTGTAAGCCTGTTGGATAGTTGTTTTAAAGATGCAGAAACTGAAGCTCAAAGTAATTAAGTGACTTGACTGAGTTAACACAGCTAGTGAGTGGCATAGTCAAATCCCCATATTTTCCAAAAAACCACACTCAACTGTCCTGGACCCAAATCCCCTTAATTGTCAAATGAGAATAACAATACCAGACATACTTAAAGCACAGGCTGCCTAGAGAGGATCAAAGATCAGGTGGGAAATGTTTTTGAAATTTTAAAAGCACTCTGTGCATATAAACTACTATTTTTACCTACAGCTCAGTTTATTTTAATTTAGTCAACCTCAGAAAAGACCTTATTATTACTGGCTTAGAAGAACTAAAATGCCAATACATAATACAGTCTCAGTATTTCCATAAAAGAAAATCATGGCAAGAGTTGTTGTAAATTTACCCAGAAGCTATGATGACACCTTTGAAAATTGAGAAAAGAAAATATATGGGTCTGATATAAGAAAAATATTATTGACTTCTTAAGAGGCCTTTCAAAAACATCACATTCTGTCTCCGTGAAATATAAACTTCAAAAATCCATAATTTCTCCCAAAATATACCATTCTGCTGTCATCCAGCAGGTAACAAATACCTCGGGATATCTTTTAAGGTAATTTATTTCAGAACATTTGGGATGAATGGAACCAGTAGGCTTAACTTAACTTATAAAACTCACCCAGGCGGTCATCTTTTAGGAGAATTTCTAATGATTTCTTTTCTTCAACTCCACGAAACCCTACTTTCTCATAATACACTGAACGAAAATTTCTCTGAGAGTCCTCAGTCATGTTTCATTCTTGGAGAAGAGAGAGATGGGCGGGAGGAGA